GTTCTTTTTTGGGGGAGGGGGGGGGGCGGTCGATTTGGTCAAAATGATCGCAAGTTTCGGATTGCAGCTGCATTCTATATTACGAAGAAAGGATTAGATTCAGACTAAACCTCCACCTCATCATGGAAAGTCACAGTGGTTCATGCAGCAGTTGGAGTTTAAGGCATTAGTAGGCATATTAGTAGGAAGTGTACCATCACCAAAACCCACAGTCTCGTCATGCAATTAAAGCCAAAACAAATAGATACTGCACACGAAAAAAATCAGCGAAGAAGACACGTATTGCGCCTCAAATAAGTCATATAACCCCAAATTCTACAATACACGCCAACAACATATATGATTAGCAAATTAAACGATGATTGTACACAATAGAGATCAACGATATCAGCACATACACGAAATACACTCTCCAGAAAGCCTATTCAAAGTAAATAAAAGTTAGCAGAGGGTGTACCCTTCAACGGAAAGAAGTCAAGAAGACGTATAAAGAACACACATTACAGAAGCGGCATCTCAATCAATACACACATATTCTGTTTTGCGCTGCAGTCGTACATGTCTTAAATACAAAGTGCAACAATAACGACGGTATAGTCTCTGACTGTGCTATGTAATCCCATCTACTAGACAGAAGGTTCAAGAAGGAAAAAAAAGATACCACCCAACAAACAAAAGAACAAAAACAACAAAACCAAACACATCAAACAACGCGAGTAACAACGCTGTGGAGCGTGACCTCCCCCGTTGCAGTACCTGCTGACGCGGCTTGGTCCGGGTTGTCGCCCCTTGCGGCGGCCGCTGCCACTGCGGCCGCCACCGCGATGCTCTTGTTGACCCTGCGCGGGCCGCCGCCCTTGCCGCGGTTCCGGGGTCGCGCGGGCTGCGCGGCCGGCTGCGCCGCCGCGACCGTGGAGGAGGGGAGGCCGACGAGGGCCTGCGCCTGCTGGAGCGCGCTCGCCGAGATGACGACGGACTCGACGCCGGCCGTCGTCACCAGGGTGTACTGCTCAGTCTGTGTCGGCGAGCCCGTCGCCACGCCCAGCGCCGCGGCCTGCGCGGCCGCCTGCTGCTGGAGCTGCTGCTGCAGCTGCTGCTCGTGCATCTGCTGCTCCCGCAGCTGCTGCTCGTGCAACTGCTGCTCGAGCAGCTGCTGCTCTCGGAGCTGCTGCTCTTGCAGCTGCTGCTCGTGCTGCTCCAGCTCGAGCTGCTGCTGCTCGTCCTCCACCAGCTCGTCCTCGTTGACCATGACGATGGGTCCCGCCTCGACGCGCGCCCTCAGCCGGCTGAGGTACTTGGTGACCTCGCCGAGCACGGGGTTCTCTGTCCAGAGCGCGTTCTGTTCACTCGCGTTGTGCTGCCGCGCCAGGTGCATGCGCACGCAGCGCGCCCAGGCGGAGGCGTACGGGCAGTGGGGGCACTGGAAGACGCGCAGGTTGGCGTGCGTGCCGAGCCAGTGCTCCGCGACCCGCGCCAGGAAGCCGCAGCACTCGCAGTCGATGCAGCGGAACAGCTTCTGCTTGGGGTTGTAGCTCGCGATCTTGGAGTCTGTCCATTCGAGCGACTCGTCCGTCATGAACCACGTGTCCGGGGCGTTGGGGTCCACCTCCCCCTCGCCGGCCTGGGCCTGTCCCGGCCCGGCGGAGGCCTCGTCCTCCTCTAGGTGCTGGGCTCCGGCCACCTGCTGGCCGTCAAACGTGTCCACGGCCATGGCGGCGGCCTCGGCCTCCGTCAGGGCCCCGCCCTCGCCGACCACCAGGGCGGCGGTGGCGGCATCCGTTTCGGTCTGGAACTGGTCCTGGAGGTACACCGTCGTGGCGGTGGCGGCCTCCACGATCACACCCGCGGCCTCGACCTGCGGTGGCGACGGCTGCTGCTGCTCCGGCGACAGCTGCTGTTGCTGCTGCTGCTTGAAGGCCTCGGCGAAGTCGGCCATCTTGCCGTTGACGACGATGGCCTCATTGATGACGCCGTTGAAGACGCCAGCGATGACGCTCTGGCCGTTAGCGCCCTGGCCGTTGGGTTGCTGCTGCATGGTCACTGCGTCCACGTACAGCTTGCGCGTGATTTCCTTGAACACATCCTCGTACACATAGTCCATGCCAGAGGCAACGTCCATCATAGGGGGCGTGCCGCCGCTGCATCCGGGACCAGCGGGGGCGGCAGCGCCGGGGGCGGCACCACTGGGGGCGGGGGCCGCGGCGGGGACCAGGCGCAGCACGCACAGCACTGCAGCACTAGGGCGCGCTTCATCCGGGACGGCCGCCTGGTGGTTGCCTCTGGCCTACTGCTACTGCTGCTGGTGCTACGGCGATGCTGGCAGGGTCGCTGCGAAAGAACAGGTGAATCGTGTCAATGAAGCAAGTCAGCCAAGGTGTTTGCAAGGGGGTGGGGGCGAGCAGGGCATCTACCAAACAGACAGCGGTAAAGGAAAGGTACAAGACAAGGGTGGTGGAGGGTTAAGGGGAGAGGTGCCCCGGGACCTGCTATATGCTATCTAGGAGGGTATATTCTTTCAGTGGTCGCAGGGTAGGGGTGAAGGTGCTGTCATGTTCGAGGCGGAACGGCAGCGCAGCGCTCTGTCTATCGACTCAGAGGGCATGTTTTCTTTTTCGCGACCATTGTATCAAAACTCGGGCCGTTCCAGCGACAAACTTCCAGGAAAGTGTCGGCTCACCTCTGCCATGACTCTCAAGCTGCAGTGGGTGTGGGTGCGTGTGTGGGTGGTGGTGCGGGGTGCCCAGACCACCAACACAAGCTACAAGTCAAAGGCGGAGGCTTGAGCGAGCAGGGCAGGGGCGGGGCGGGGCGGTGGCGCGCGGCCCGGGGTGGTGGCGCGGCGGACCGCCCCGCCCCGCAGCGGGGATCGCATGGCGCGGCCCCCCTGGCTGGCCGCCGTCGGCAGCAACGCCCACCCCGCGCCAACCCCCCAGAGCTGCCCCACGTCACAGGCCGGTGTAAACACAGCGTACACGCGCCGCCCCCCGCCCCCCCCCCACGGCTACTCACTTGACTTAGGCCCTGTTCACACCAATCAGCCCATTACCCTAGCGCCTCATGAGGGCCAGGGGGCTGCCCCTGACCGCTCGCAGAGCCACCGGGAGCGAGCAACCCCTTCCGAGACTAGCAAAACACAGAGGCACCTCGAAGAGCTAACGAGGGTCGCCTTCAGTGTTACGGTCTAAGCCCGCAAGACAAATTATTTTTCTCTCTTGCACACACACATTCTTACACGCGTTAGCGAACACACACACACATACACACACACACACATTCACAAATAGATTTTTAACCCTTCGCCTTATGGATGAGATACAAACGGTCGCCTCCAGTCGTCCCAGTAACGTGACGGATGTGCGCCGCGGCGCGGAGGAAGCTTTTCCTGGGCGTCAAGGACAAAGGAATCTACGCGGCAGTGTTTAGCAGGCCAGATGGATGGGGGAAGACCAGCGGGGACGTGTCTGCGGGGGCCGCGAGGGGGACGGGGGCGGACGCTCTGCTCGCACAAAGTGCACGGCTGCATACCTGGCGGAGGCGATGTGCTGCTGGTGAAGCCGGAAGTCGGAAGCCGGCCGGCGCTGAGCGGCGCTAAGGGGACGGTGGCTCCGCCGCACCCATACCAGCAGTCCACCGGGGGTTGCAGGGAGGCTGCCTGGACCAGCGGCTCAGATAAAGTCCTCGGACGGGCGGCAGGCGTCGCCCCGGCTAGCGTCCACGGCCAGCGTACCCGACGAGCAGTCCTCGCCAGTCCGAGCGGCACAGCACCGCTCCGGATCAAGTTTACAGCCGAGCTGAGCCAACCAACACTGGCTCGTGGCGGGCCGGGGCGGGGGCAGGGCAGGCCGCGGGGACGACGCACGCCGCGTCTCGACCCGCCTCGAGCGAAGAGGTGCGGCCTTAATCAGGAGTCAGGAGAAGTAGATCCGCCA